AGCGAGACCTCATCTCTACAATAAATCAAAAAATTAGCCGGGCGTGGTAGTGCATACCTGTAATTCCAGCTACTTGGAAGGCTGAGGCGGAAGGATCACCAGAGCCTAGCAGGTTGAGGCTGTGGTGGCCGGGAGCAGCCACTGCACTCCAGTCTGGGCGACAGAGTGAGACTCCAACTCAAAAAAAAAAAAAAAAAAAGAATATGTTACAGGGAGAAACATTCGTAAATATTATGTGTGGCATGTTTAAAGAAAATAGCCATGATATCCCTTGGCAATGTGTTTTTTGAGACTACAGAATTCAAAAGTCCTCTTTTTTTGGATCATAACTTAGAACAACATTTTGGTTAATAATTAGTAATACTTAGTGAATACAACGAATATATAAAATGTTTGGGTTTTTGCTCATTGAAGTTCTAACCTACATAAAGCAAGATCCTATCATGCTAGTAACAAGTTGACTGATAATTTCAAGAAGACAGGTAGCTGAATGTCAAAAATTTTAACTATCAACTAAGGATGAGATTCTATTGGAAACATCCCAAATATCAAAAAACAATTTATCCATAGCCCAGGGATGGAGACTTGTAGTCAAAAGATCTAAAGTCTCTGGATGCACTGCCCCTTCACTAATTTTATGTGAAACATCCTAATTTTTAATTGTTAAATTTAAAAAGTCAACGATTGGAGTCTTTATTATATAGGACGAACAATGCAATCTCTATATTAATTAGTCCAAAGTTTAGGAGTTTACAAGTTTTTCTTAAATGTATATCAAGTCACTATTGATGAAGTTTTAAAGATTTAGAAACAAAGAGAAGAATACCTCTTTCTACATTAAGTGGTTCAGAGAAGGATTCTTGAATAAGTAAGCTGGAGTAACTGAAGACAAATTCACTAAATCTTGCAGTTCACCTGAAAAATTTATGCTCCCCAGTTAACTATTAAGTTTTGTCTTTAAGATTATTTTAAAGAGTTTAGTCTGAAACAAAAAAAAAAATGGGGAAAGAATAATGTCTAAATCTCCTTTCTGAGCCTCAGAGTAAGGAGAGAAATAAATTTTGCTGTTGAAGAGCAGAAAATAAATAATTCACTGAATAGCTATTTGAATTAGGTGTATTTCTTTCTTCATTCCTCTTTCTTGTAGGATGTCTACATTAAATTACTTTTGAATATTGCTATATATTTTAATTGAGACTACTCCATTTTTAACATTATTGGTGTAAGTTTATTATACTTTAGTAGAAAATAAAATACGAAAATATTACCATCCACCATGACAGTATACTTCTTTTGGTCCCGAATGTAATTTAGTTGTATTGCAATGTAAAATATTTTGTGACAGAGCTTAGAAATGGCTGGCTATACTCTAAGAATGTGACAAATCTATCAGACTGTCAGCACTGTATCTTTAGTTGAGAGAGGCAAACAAATGAATTAATAAATATAACAAATCAAAAAATAAAAACAAGAGATAAAATTAAATATAAGCACCGAAACTACAAGAAAGAAAATGAGAGAGAGAGAGAATGAGAGAGAATAAGAGAGAAACATCTATATATCCTGCAGAGGAAAAGAGGACAAAGAAAGAGACTTCACATTTTGCAGGAAAATATAGGATAGCACTTGGTTTTACAAGTGTCTAAAAGTCTCTGAAAGCTTGTATTGTGAAAAACTAGAGACAGCCTAAGGGGATAGAAACCTTGGACAACTGTAAACGTAGATGATAAAAGGGCAGTATATCAACATTCATAAAATATGCTAATTTTGAAAAGTTTTTATTATAAAGACATTGGGATGAGACAAACAACAGTTTGGTTTTTTTTATCAATGCTAATGAAAATTTATTTAAGTAAAACACAGAAAATGTGTTTCTGATAATCTCAAAATTGAAGACTCTCAAACTGAGGTGCAATCAAGTTTCCACTAAGTGTTTGACAAGTCAACACCTAATGTGGAGTTGATTTGGTTTTCTAGCAGCTGCCGCAGCAGTCTGCCAATGCCAACCTCTATCTTTCCTCTGTTGATTTGTCAAGGATGAAGTTAACAAGAGTTCTCAAGCTAGTGGGTCCATCAGGGTGGGTAAGCAGTGGTTCCTAATCCCAAATGGGAGTTAAGGTGGTTTCCCACATCACAACATCCCAGTCATTTTTTTAATGATGTATTCCTGACAGTTTTGTCTGAAACCAAAATGTTATTGAATTGCCTTCATTCTTCTGATATCTTTAACCACATATCCAATTTCTTGGGTTTCTGTTTCTCTTCTCTAAAATAGGAACAATGATAGTACTCACCTTAAAACTCTGCCATGCTAATTTCAGTGTTGGGATGGAGGACGTACTAGATGTACTTGGAGTAAGTGCTCAAAGAATGATATGGGCATGTTAGAAATAATAGGAGCTAGTTGGAAGGAGATCTCACAGGCCAGATTTGGGTCAATCTGTACATCAAAAGAAAATAATAAGAGTAATCATAGACAAAATAGGAGTGAGTTTATATTCACATAAATTTATAAATAAGTGGGAGAGAAGGAAAAGTTCTTCTTTACAGAATTCTAACTAGTAAACATAGAATGAATAATGGAATCAGAAAAGAAACAATTTGGCAACCACCATAATAACACCAACATTGCAGGTAAGAATCATCAACGGATGATAAAACCATGGTTTTAATGATGAGAATTTGATGGGAAATAATGTATTTACATACTCTTAAAATATCTCTAAGCAAAGATGATTAGTTAGAATGAGAAAAGCAGTCACAACAGTAGAGAAAACTGGCAGTACTACTTCCTAAAGATTAAATATACCTCCATCAGTAATAGGACAAAACAATATTACGTGCCTTCTGTTGGGATGTATGATATGGGCACAACATTGCTTTGCAGGGATCTTTGCTGAGAATGCACACCTGAATCCAGTCATGAAGTATCAGGCAAACCCCAATTGAGGGACATCCTATAAAATAAATGTCCTATGTCATCAAAAAATATCAAGTTCATAAATAAAAAAGAAAGACTGATGGACTGTCCTAGATTAAAGGAAACCAAAGAGACAGGAAGTTCTAAGTGCAGCCTGGACCCTGCATCAGAAGAAAACATTAATAATAACAACAACTATAAAGAACATATAAAGAACTATTAACAAGATAGGAATAAAATCTATAGATTAAATAAGAGAACTGTGACATTGCTTGTGTGATTTTTAGAGATTTCACTCATTTTTATTGTTATATATATCACTTTGAGATTTCAGATTTTTATTTCAATGACTTTATGGAGTACAAATGATTTTGGGTTACATAGGTGTATTGTATAGTGGGGTGGAGTAGTCTGGGTTATAAGTGTACTCTCTCCCCACCAGTTCACATTGTACTGATAGGTGATTTTTCATCCCGACCTTGCCACATGCCCCTTTCTGAGTCTTCATTGTCAATTAGGCTGTTCCATGAGCCTTTGAAGTTCCTTAGTTTAGCTCACGCTTATAAGTGAGAACTGGCAGTGTTTGTTTTTTCATTCCTACATTACTCCAATTAGAATGATGGTCTCCAATTCCATTCAAGTTACCACAAAACACATTATTTCATTCCTTTTCATGGTTGAATAGTGTATACGTATATATAGATAGATACTATAGATATACACATATATACTAATAGTATAAGTAATAGTATATACTATTAGTATAATATATATTAATAGTATATACTAATAATATGCATATATGTGTATTTTATAGAATGTACCTCAATGGAGGTTTGCCTGATGCTTCATGACTGGATTCAGGTGTGCTTTCTCGGCAAAGATCCCTGCCAAGTTTGTGTGTATATATATATCCAGTATCTGTATCTATCTATCTAATCTATCTATATACTGGGGGTGCCAAAACATGTATACACATTTTAAGAGATGACTGCAATCAGATGTGTCTGGATGCTGATGGTAACCACTTTGAGCACTTCTTGTAATTGCAGAAATCAAACTTGTATTCATCTTATTGAGTATTACAATTTTAAATACAGCTTTTTTCTTTCTTAAAATGTGTATATATTTGTGGCACCATACACCCACACACACCCACACACCCACACACACATTTTTATTATACATCGATCAGTTGACACACACTTAGGCTGATGATTCCACATCTTTGCAATTGTGAATCGTATTGCAACATACTTTAAGAGTGTAATAGAAAGAGATTCAAAATTCCTGAGCCTTCCCTTTGTTCCTTTTTGAGTTATTTCCTTCTCCCTTCAGGTAAGCGTTTGGAGTTTTGGCTGCATAGAGCCGAGCTCAGATGGATCTTCCCTGTGACTCTGTTCCAATTGAGCCCTTTTTTATTACCTTGTCTTTAAGTACATGGCAAGATCTCCTTCTATGTACAGTCGTTAGTCTCTTAGTCTGTTTTTGGTTTCTCGTCACTGGATGTGAGACACACTGTAACTGCAGTACTTAGTGTATTATTTTTCTATTACTATCATAACAAATCACCTCGAAGTAATTTCGAACAATGGGAAGGAATGGGCGGCAAAGTAGATCATGTTCATTAAGTCTCCCAACCAGGTGGAGATTCATCCATAATGCCAAAGAAAAGTAATGTAATTTCATTCCTTAGTCTTAGGAGAACAGCATCCATCAGCAAAGCCTCATGTGAATACACAGGTAACAAAGGCAGGTGGCACATACCAGAGGAAAAGAAAGGGCTTCCCCTGCCATGACGGATACATGTTAATGCAAAATAGTCACAGCATTTCTGACAAAGGAGTAATTCATTGGCTTTGAATTGTAACACCAACATTATAGCACCCATAAAGACAATATGTGGAAACTACTCAAATGCAATTACAGACAAAATTATTGAGTTACACACAGGGAAGTGAGGGAGTACAACTATGTAAAGGATGACTCTCCACAATAGGGCACCACACCTATTGCTGAGAGTATATAAATGCCCCTTTCAGAAGGAGATATTACACTCAGAAACTTCTCAGTTCACTCAACTGAACTCACATCTACCACCACCATGTCCTGCAACTCCTGCTCTGGAAACTTCTCCTCCCGCTCCCTTGGGGGCTACCTGCACTACCCAGGCACCTCCCGTGGCTCTTCCTACCCCAGCAACCTGGTCTACAGCAGTAACCTCTGCCCTCCCAGAGCCTGCCAGCTGGGATCCTCTCTCTACAATGGCTGCCAGGAGACTTGCTGTGAGCCCAGCAGCTGCCAGACGTCCTGTGTGGTGTCCAGCCCCTGCCAGAGGTCCTGCTACCGCCCCAGGACCTCCGTGCTGTGCAGTCCCTGCCAGACGACTTACTCTGGGTCTCTGGGCTTTGGGTCCAGCAGCTGCCGTTCCCTGGGTTATGAATCTAGGAGCTGCTCCTCATTAGGCTGTGGATCCAGTGGCCTTAGACCCCTGGGTTATGGGGGCTGTGGCTTCCCCGTCCTAGGCTATGGATCTGGATTCTGCCTCCCAACCTACTTGGCTTGTAGGAGCTTCCAGTCCTCTTGTTACAGACCAAGATACGGATCTCGTTTCTACTGAATCACTTGCTAAGTGTCTAGATTTTTGAGTATTGGGGTCAAAGTCTGTAATCAGTGAAGTCATTGTTTTAATCCTTACCATCTATCACTATCCTTTTATTCTTTTGTCACCATCTTCTGCATCACTAACCTCTGACAGATTCTGAAATTAATGAATAATCTAAAATTAAGGCATAATATCTGTACTATTAATAGAATATATACTGTTTGATTTTTGTCTAAGAACAATTGAAAATAAAATTTTTAATTTTTTAATCTAATAAATTTATGTAATCTGGCACCAAAATATGTTGTTGTTATTATTGTTATTTAGCTTATAGTTTTTGTATTCATGAACTTGGGAGATATAAGTAAAATCAGTGCAACTTTGTAACTTGATTTGAGCACATTTAATTTGATAGATTTGAGAAAATTTCTGTTGACATTGGGAGTAATCAATTGCAGACTTGTTCAAGATCAGTGAGAATTGCCAAAGAATGAAAAACATGCATTTCTACTAATAAGAAAACAATAAAATTGATACATAAATTAAAAATGCAGACAATAAAAGGATATGACTTATAAGATGAGCTATATTCTTACACAAAATCTCATCCAAAAGTCTGTTGTGTAAGTGTGGATTTTCAGCCAAGAAAAAAATAAGCTTTAAACAATTTATAGGACAGACAATTTTGCTTTTTGTCCGTTGACATAGTGCCAGGATCCCTGCCTCCCACTGGTTGGGTATTCTTGAACCTCACCTCTAAGAATGTGTAAGGAGAATTCAGCGATCTAGAATGGGAGTAATTGGGTTCAGGAGATGTGAGTAAGCTCCTAATACTTCTCCAAGACTCGACCTCAATCAAACTAAGAGCTCAATCAAGCTAAGAGCAACACACCTGAGTATGTTAAATAAACATTTACCTTCATTAGTCTTAGTCTGAATTAGTTCTCTCTCCCCCAAAGCAGTTAAAGTCAGAGACTAGGAGGCAGGCAGTTTATCCAGCGCCAGATCCCAGGACAAGTATAAAAGACCAGGGGGAGCAAAAGAGTCAAAGAGGAAAATCTTACAAAAGGAGACACCTCTGAGTTGAATTCATACAGGCAACTTGGCCTCAATCCTGCAGGGGCTTCTTTGAAGCATGTAGAATGACTCACAGAATTGTCCACCTTAGGATCAGATCAACAAAGAAAATTATTCATTCTATCTTCCATTGGTTGAACAATGCCCAAGATGTGTAATTTTCTGGAACCTCATAACTGTTCAAAAAGAAATCACAGCAGACTCCCTTCGTTTTTCTAGTTGTGACCTTGCAGAAGACTAGACACAGTAAAAGAAGTATTGCATATGCTTGAGGGAACATGCAATTCATGCAAAGGGGGCTGCAGTCTCTCTCTCTCTCTCTCTCTCTCTCTATATATATATATATTTTTTTTTTTTTTTAACCATTGCTATGCCTAGAGTCATACCTGAAACATATTTTATGGAAGGACATAAGGAGATATCAGATACGCCATTTTCACTTAATAGTCAAACATTTCTATGAGAAAGACAAACATTACTTATGATAGACCTTTCAAACTTGAGGGAATTAAGATTCGATAGGACTTAATACTTGCCAACGATTATAGATCAGAAACCTAGAAGAATCTGATCTTTTGCAAGAATCTCAAGTTGTTACTCTTTCTTGGCTTTTCGTTTTCTTTTTTTTTAAAATATGCAACTCCTAGTTTATCTAAGGAGTCCTTAGTATCTCTGATACTACAGAAATTGCTTTGACTGAATAGACTTAATCTATTATTGTATTTATTTCATTAGCATTATGGATAGAAATCATAATAAATAATAAAAATTTTAAAATTTAGTGTTTCTAGGAAGAAATCCAAAGAAGGTAAACTCGTTTATTTTTAAAACATCTTTATTAACTATTGAAATAAATAATATTTAGTATATTATTTTACTACTAATAATATTTGGTGACATCTCAGGAAAAAATTGTGATAAATTCTGAGTGTTATGATAAAATTATATTACTATTTATTATTATTATTAATGTTACTTAGCTTATTTAGATTTAGAATTCAAGATGATAGATATCAAATGCTTCCTTCAATAATACTGAACAATATTCTTGTTCATATAGAGAATAGAGAATTACCAAACTTTTGTGACATTGCACTAATAGTGTAAACCAGATTCTCATTTTGATGAGTCAGATTGAAGGAGAGTGGAGCATGTCAGAACGAATTTGTGAAAAATGTATCAAATATAGTAGTATTACAGGGTGCAGAAGTTGACATCGAATGTAGAAAAAAGGAATGAGAATCTAGTATGGAAAATATATGGCTCAGGTGAAAGACATAAGAAAATTCCGTGGATAAGTCTTGCTGTATAAATTACACAAATAATTACTTAAAAATCAACAAAACAAAGTCTCAAAAATAATACAACAGATGAAGGCGAAAGTTGTGATTGGCAACTAAGAAAAACCATTGATTAGCAACATAAAGTAAATATAAAACGTTTTAAATTTTTCAAATTATAGCTTTCACTTTTATTTGTAGAATATTGCAGCTTCTTTGGATACACAAATGAGTTATGTATTAACCACAATTAAAAATGTATTTCTTTTTCATAGAAACTGTATATCTTTTTCATATTTCTGTTGTCTTCAACATGATGTTCTTTATAAAAATGTGTACTTTTTAATAAAATGTGCATTTTTTAATTATTACTGAGACAACAAATAATTTTCTCTTCAATGTGAAACTTTCAAAATAACTTTACATTAGCATTATGAAACAGAACTTTTCATAGCTTAACTTGGATTTTTCTGACCTGGATGAAAAATTCAAACCATTATTGGAATTAACTCATTTTCTTTTTAAAGCATTTGCAATACTGGCATAAAACTGAGTCCATTTAATCCTTACTGGTTTTTTTCTTCTGTTAATAGAGAAGTATATCATCTGCTATTGCTTCCATTTTTTTTTTTTTTTTTAGTATATGCACAGGTAACATGGAATTTAACATGAGTGAAAAGGATTTAAAACAGTAATTTGACCTAAATGAAAATGTATGCATTAGAGTAACGTATTTACATAACTTTTGCAACTGCTAATGATAAGAATCACTTGGAAGAAATTTTTTAAATTGTGCTATCTTTGAAGTAAAGACTGATGTGTCTTCAGTAAAATTATATCCTTTACTTTCCATGTGCTCGACGATATTACCTATCCTCATGTTGGATAGTAAATGTCATCAGATTGTTGTGCAACTTATGTATTCATAACTTGGTTTATCAATAGAAATTTAGAGCTCAGCTTTTCTTTTTCATTAAAAATAAACTTTTCTTTTTGACTTTTTTATCTTTTAAATTTATTTTAAAGATGTGGGGTACCATTCAGGGTGAGGTATACAAATGTTCATTATGCAGTACCCTTGTTGATGAGGTGTGCCTCCCCCTCCATCAGATTCCCACTACTGCCAATCCTGCATCCTCCTTCCCCCAGAAGTTTCCTACTACTGCCAATGGCTTTTTTTTTTTTTTTTTTTGAGTTGGAGTCTCACTCTGTCGCCCAGACTGGAGTGCAGTGGCCGCTCCCGGCCACCGCAGCCTCGACCTGCTGGGCCCCGGCGATCCTTCCGCCTCAGCCTTCCGAGTAGCCAGAATTACAGGCATGTGGTACCACGCCCGGCTGATTTTTTTTTTTTTTTTTTGGTAGAGGTGAGGGCTCGCCAAGTTGCCAAGGCGGGTCTCGAACCCGCGGGCTCAGGCAACTCACTCACCTCAGCCTCCCAAAGCGCGGAGCCACCGAGGCCGGCAATGGCTTTTTTTTTTTTTAAATAAGATTTTTTTTTTGTTTTTGTTTCCCAAAATTTAAAGAAGAAAGGTGTTACCAAACAAAAAAAGGAATCGCTATAAATAAACAATACGCGACATGGCAAATCATTCTAGCAGTAGCATTTAGATTTTTCTTTTTTTAAAATTTAATTATGTGGAGTACCATTCAGGGTTAGGTATACAAATGTTCATTTTGAGGGTACCCTTGTTGATGAGGTGTGGCGTGTCGTCGTGTCGTGTCCGTCCCGTGTCCCGTATGTCCCCCCCCCCCCGCCGCTCCCACTCTCCTGGCAGTTTCCCACTTTTTTTGGTCCGCTCTGTGGCAGCTTCAATTTGAGAGCCAGTGGTTCTCGAATTTCCCACTATCGCCACCTACTGCTGGTGTGATGGATATTGCCAGGTCTTGCAAACTGGAATGGGCGATATCGCATTGCCAGCTAGGTTAGAACAGCAAATGACCTTTCACCAAGGTTTGAACCTGCAGGTTGTCCTGTCGCTTGTATTTGAGGCTGGTTTGTTTCTTAAGTGATCACTCTGCATGCTTTCTTTGAAAGAAAAAGGATAGTTCTATTTTGTTCAGAAAATACGAGAAAAAAGAGGAATACCTTGCCTTCTTTCAGATTTAACAACTTATTAAAGTAAACAACTCCCCTGTTCACTGTACATGCAATTTTTTCTCCACTGGAAGAACTAATGGCAAAAATAAAGTGGAGATCTCCAAAACCAACAATTGCTTACATTAATAAAATTATTACTGATTATTAGTAAAAAGTAAAACAACTGGGATAATTGCCGAATGAAACTGGACACTAAGACAACATGAAATAAACCAAGACATGTGGTTACATTGTGAGTAAGTATTTGGGTCATCTGTACCTTTAAAATTGTTGTTATTGACTTAAATAATAAAACATGTGGAGTGTAACTGCTGATTAATGTATTATTAACTGCCTGGATGGAATCCTGCAACCAGGATATTTGAGTTTGGTTTTTTTGATTTTTTTTTCTCAGATAAGTGCTATCAACCAAACAACTCAACTCCAAAAACAAAAACTGGGGCTTTTTCAAACTTATAGAACTAATCATATAAAAATATTGGTTTTACTTGCTAATATATGTTGGAATATGTTAGAAATGTCACGTAAAGACTTGATTTCTTGCCTGGCTGTAGGCTGGA